TTGCATTGCTGTTTTCAGTATTCGCTGCCCAGCATCGTATATAGTGCAGTTGTCGAGTTTGTTTGTACTTGTGAAACCACCGGTCACTCAACCTTACCCCAAGGTCGCGCAAGTCATCATCAGCCACGTCTCCACGTCTCCAACACTTTGCCGTAGACTTCTGTTTTCTGAAATTTTTTTAATCCTTTTGATCAAGCGAATTTCTTCACACCAAGCGTTCTGGAGGTCTTCCTCTGGGCCGTTTACCCTTTCTTGGAAGCCTGCCTGATTTCACGTGTTTTGTGACGCTGCCACTTCAACTTCTTGCTTCTTCTTCACTCGAGCAGCGACATCGTAGACCCTTTCTGCGCTCTCAGCCAATCATTTGTTTCTCTATCTTTTCTTTTCATTCATGGCATACGTACTTCTTCCATGCGGCGTTGCGCAGCCTGCAGTTGATGAATGAATTTCAGGCTCGAGGTCCACGTTTCGCACCCATAAGTTAGCACTGGGGCAACATATTTTCCGTTTCAAACACAAGGGCGGTTTCGAAACTTGAAACATTTTCAGTCTTCCGAAGGTAGTGCATGCCATATTCGTTCTTCTGCTGGTTTTCACATGGACCTGTTCTGCCTCCCAGATGAACATGGTGTTGCGATTCTTGAAACTTAAATAAATTGACTTCAGGTCGCCGGATCGTGCATCTCTTAAATCCGGGTCTTCGTCAGGCACATTTCTCAGGCGTGCTTTGATGCCGGTATCGTTCAGTTCTTGTGGTGACGTTGATAAGATCATCGTGTCGTCCAAAAACCGCAGGTGGCTTAAGTAATGCCCTTTGATTTTCCTAAGGAATTACCTTTCAAAATTCTTCTAGGGCTGCTGTGAATAACTGCTTCAGCGACAGTGCGTCTGCGTCTCTTGGTCTCATATCCTTTTCGATTTTATGCTTTTTGCTTTATGACGTTTCACTTGAGCAGTTGCATTCGTGTAAATCGAAACTTGGTCTCTCCAGTAAGTAGTTTCAGCTGTTCCATTGCTCTGTCCATCTTGTAGACACTGCCTCCAAACAAGCGGTCTACTTAATCTATTGCTTGTCCTTCGAAATGACGTCCATAAAATTCTGAGGGTGGGACGAAATAAGGATAGGAAGTACAGACACGACCGATGACATCACAGCCAGATGAGTTAGTGAGAAAGAGCGATGTTTGGCGGCTCTGAACAAGTAGTCGAAATCGAATAGATCTAGTCTGAGCTAAAACCTCAAACTCTTGTTTCCGCTGTACACAAGAACTGAGTTTGTTCAATAAAACTTACGTTTTGAGTTCACACCTTGGACTGATGATCATTCTGGACTGTCAGCAATCAGTTAAGTGAAATTGCATTGCCGCCTCAAGAAGCGCTCACTTCGTACAACAAGACGTGCATCTCGCTCATTCTGACATCGTCATACGCGAACACAACGTCGTACCTGTTGTTAGCACTTGCTACGTGCGTATTGGCAGGTTGTGTCGAATTTATTTGAGGTGAATTCGTTGCTCAAGGGAATTCGAGTTTAAGGGAAATTGTTTCCCTCTCCGAAGTTCGAGACTGACCCGCTGTCGTGGTGCTATCGCGTCACAATGATTAGTGCATAAGATTATTTTGCTGCAGTTGTTTCGAAATACGGGACGAATAATGCACAGCATGTCGATCCGAGATAATGGTCAACTACTACTATAATTAAACATAATCATTTATATATAACATTTATGGCGTTGTATAAGTACAGAGCAGCGTTGTGTAAGAATGCGTTTATGCTGGTTGCAAACGCCAATAAACCTGACTGATATGAGGAACAATTGCTTCAGCGTAAGCTAAGAGCCTCATTGATGTGTGTCATCGAAATAGGCGACTTCTACGCCATGTTTTGTCATTGTAGGAAATACGAGAAGGAACTGGCCGAGATCGAGCAGCAGATCAACGAACGCAAGGAGAACGCCATGAAGCTGATAGGCACGATGGACGACGCGATTTGCCAGATATGCCAGAAGACGAAGTTCGCCGACGGAATAGGTCACAAATGTTACTACTGTCAGTTGAGGTCGTGCGCTCGGTGCGGAGGACGGATCCAGATCAAAGTGAAGGTGAGTCTGTTGACTTGACTCGGGCGACGAGAGTGCATGCGAGTGCTGCAGTGAATTCACGTCTCAAGTCACATCCGACGCATCCTATTTACCGTATCTCGTTTACATGCCTACAGCAAAATCATTTGTCGACCGACAAGTAGAATTGTGCTGTCAATTTGACCGTTTTCCCCTTCTTGGCGCTTCGCCTACTTTATCGCATACGTACTTTGCATGAAATTTACGATCACGTTCGTATACTGATGGCGCTACGGTAGTTTTCGAAAGCTGTAGATTCTTTTGCTGAGAAATGACGTTTAGCATTCTTCTGCCAAGTAAACTGGTCGTTGCTGTCCATCGACAGGTTTCCTCCTCCTCTTCTGCCTCCTAAGACATTGTCACTGCATCAGATCAACAGATGGTTCGTGCCCACAGTTCTGAAATGCCTAAAATCTTCCGTATTTAAACATAAATTTTGCGGAGGGAAGTTTGGTCATACGTCTGAGTCATTTTCACCTCTTACCGCTTCGTTCGAACCGTGGAACAGTTGCTTTAAGTATTTCCGCAATTCATCCTGTTCGTTGCCACGTGCTGCAACTGGACGACGAGCTTCGACGCTCTAAATGACTCGAGTGGACGTGAGGAAAATGATAAGTAAACGAGATTCCAGATATGTGGCCGGAACTAGTGCTACGCGCGGTGAGGCACAGGGCTCCCTAGCAAAGGCGGCATCACAGTGGAACTCGTGGAGTCAAAAGATGAAGTAACGATCAGGATATGAGTGGGCTTTGTAACGCGCCGTTTTTCTTAAAAAATGCACATTCCGGATGATCGGACTACTGCATTGGTGATTCTTTCTCCTCAACAGAAATGGACATGAAAAAGATCTGAAGAACAACAGGTTGATCAGTTTGTGGCAGATCATCTGCAAGATGTTCAGAATTCAAAAAATGCTTGGATTGCGCACACCCAGTGGAGCAAGCAGAATTCAGAAGTGGATATGGTACGATGGATCACCGTCGGCTGGCGCGTAGCAAGTGATTAAAGCAAGTGACGCGTATCAGCTGCCTCTCTGCCTGGGATTCGTCGACTTCGGCAAAGCTTTCAACTCAGTCTACGCCCGCTCTGTATTAAATGCCCTGTGAGAAGTCAGGCAATCAAGAAAGACACAGCGCCGTCATTACCACCGTTTACAAGAACGCAGCAGCTAGTAGAGTGATTCACG